CCCTCTCCCCTCTCCCCTCCCTGCACCTCTGAGGGATGAGCTCCCCTGAGCAGCAGCATGGGCTGGGAAGGCAGTTCCCAGAGACAACTCATCCTCAATACAGCAGGAGTGAGTCATGGATGTTTCCCTGGAAGTAGGGGAAGAGCGAGGAGAGGACCCCTGGTTGGAGGAAGAGCTTCACCTCCTTCCCACATGAGTAGAATGTCAGTATTTAGTCACAGTGACAGCCCATCGGTGGGGGAAGGTGAGCTCCTGTGGGACAGGGGAGGAGAGAAGTTCATTCACAGAGAAACCCATGGGACTTGTAACCAGATGAATCATGATTTTAAATACTTCTGATTGAAAATGCTATAAAATAAAGAATGTTAATTAACACTGGCCCTGGAGATTTTTATTTATTTTTTTTTATTTTTTGCCTTTCTGGACATCAAAGAGCTTCAAAGCCCCAAATTCCTGAGCTGGGAGTCCCACAAAATTGACCTCCCTGACCTCACTTTCTTCCTTCTTTCTCCTCTCTGCTCTACTCCAGCCACACACTAAAAATTCTTCTGCCTCAGGGCCTTTGCATGTGCTGTTACCTCTGCCTAGAACATTTTGGTCCCAAATATATGCTTGTTTCCTCACTTTATTCAGGTCTCTGCTCAAATGTCACCTCCCCAGAGAAGCTTCCCTGACCATCTGGTCTAAAACATCATCTTCATTACTCTCCATCTCCTTATGCTGCTATATTTTTCTTAGTATTTAGTCAAGATATTGTATTATTTATTTTCTTATTTATTAAATGTATCTCTCTCTAAAATAAAAACTTAAGATAATGCAAACTTTATTTTGTTCAGAGCTGTAACTCCAGTGCCTAGAATAGTTTCTGACACATAGTAGGTGCTCAGTAAATATTTGATAAATGAATCTATACCAGAATTTATGAGAAAGCAATCTTTCTCTCTGATCTGGGGTCTGTTTGGTTCATTTCTTTGCCCACTCATTCTTCCATTTATTCATTGAACAATATTTATTTATTATATGCTCATTCATTGTCCCCACCCACATGAATTTACATTTTAGCTGAGGAGACAGGTAGTAGACAGGTAAACAAATAAATAAAATGACTCTGGGTCATGATGCAGGCTAAGAAAGAAAATGAAACTGGCCAATGTGACAAACTGGCTCAGATGCTACTTTAGCCAGAGTAGTTAGGGAGGACTTCTCTGAAGAGGTGGCACTGGACTGAGACCAGAAGGAGTCAGCCATGTGCTCATGGTGGTGTGGGAGGACAGGGGATGGCAAGGGCAGTGCAGAGTCATTGGACATATACCAGGGACTCATGTCTGCAATATACAAGGAAGTCAGAAGAGACAAAAACGAAACAAAACAGCTGCTTTGGTTACCTGTGGTTACATAAAAAATCACCCCACAGAATCAGGGCTTTAAAACACAACAGTTTATTGGCTCACATGTCTGCTTTTGGATAGAGTTCTACAGGGATGGTTTAGTCTTTGCTCTACATGGTGTGGCCAGGGCCACTCAGCTGGGAGTTTGGCTGGAGCTGGAATGTCCACCATGGCTGTGGACCCTCCAGGGTCATGTGGCTTCTCCAGGAGTCTAGCTTGGACCTCTTTACATGACAGTGGGCTTCTATGAAGGCAAAAGCAGAAGCTACAAGGCTCCTTAAGATCTGGGCTCCTTAAGATCTGTGGGAGTGCAAGAACATCAATTCTGACATATTCTATTGGTGAAAGCAGGTCACGGGTTGGCCTGGTTCAAGGGCAGGAAATAGACTCCACTCCCTGTTGGGAGGAGCGGCATCCATGTACAAGGGGATGGGTAGCCACTATCTTTGGAAGCCTTCTACCATAACACCCAAGAGAAAACGGAATGGAAGATACAAACATGTCATTCGGAAAAGGGGTATCTAAGTGGCCAGCAGGTTATAAAGAGATGCTCAAACCCACTTGTAATCAGATAAATGCAAATTAAAGCAAGATTCAACAATATGCCAAGCAGATTGGCAAAAACTAGAAGAGTGGACAATAAGCGATGGCGAAATGGGAGGAAACAGAAACCCTTGTGTTCTGCTGGCGAGACGTCAAACCATTACTGTCAGCCTGCCAAGCAACTTGGGGGGATTTGTTATCTGCACTCCCAATGCCCCGTTACCCTGCTCCTGGGTATCCCAGCAAAACTGGTCCCTAAGGAGATGGCAGAGAAGGATCTTTGTGCCACTGTTGTTTGAGGGGCCAAGTTGCTGGAGGCCACCTAGGTGACCATCGCTGGTGGGGCTATTTAAGTGAAATACAGAGGAAGCACACTGTGGAAAATACTGCAGCACAGAAGTGATGAACAACAGGTACCTAGAGAGATAAGACATATATCCCAGTACGTGCAGGGTGGGGCAGAAGTAGGTTTACCGTTGTTTGTATGGAAAAGAATACAATAGTTAATAAATAATAATACAAGAATAAACTCTGTGTTTCCTGTGCTCACAACTGTAAACCTACTTTTGCCCCATATCAAAAAAATTTACATAGTGTCAGTGGCAGAGGAATGGAAGTAGTGATGGTAAATAAAAGAAATAAATATAAAAGTCATTGAATGAAGAGTTCAGTAAGCCACACTGGACTCTTGGCTCCACCCTTAACACACTTGTGATCTTAAGCAGGTCCTTTACTGTTTTGGACTTTGGTTTCTTCATCTGAGAGATGAGAGTGTGTAGACAGGGTCTCAAAAGGAGATAGTAAGTTCATAAACTAGCTAATCTGAGGAAAGTTTAGCAAAAGATCTAGTAACAAGGTGTGGGCAGAGGATTGGCAAACCACAAGGGAAGGTGCAGGCCCGGAGGTGGAGGGAGGGCTAGTCATGGAGGAGCACCCCCCAGCCTGAGGTCTGAGGGAAAGAGGGGCCTAACTGGCATCTTCAGTCCTGGGACACATCCACTCTTAAGAACTCCATAGGGAAGGAGATGCCCTGGATCTTTCTCTCCTCTCACTCAGCTTTTCTGCTGGGGCTTCCTACTGGCCAAACCCAACTGTATTGGTCAGAGTTCTCCAGAGAAACAGAACTAACAGGATGTGTGTACATGTGTGTATATCCAGGAAATAGTCCAAAAACAGCCTGCTGGCAGAATTCCCTCTTGCTCAGGGGAAGTCAGTCTTTTGTTCTATTCAGGCCTTCAACTGATTAGACAAGGCCCACCATGAATGGAGAACAATCTGCTTTACTTAAACTCCATTGATCAAAATATAAATCTCATCCAAAAACACGCTCACAGAAATATCCAGTATATATTTCACCATATATCTGGGCCTGGCCAAGGTGACACATAAAATTAATCATCACACCAACAGAAGCCTTAATGCAAGGGTCTCCTTTGCTGCAGCCCAATCAGGTCCACCTCTGGCGGCACAAGGCAGGGAGGAGAAGAATAAAGACTGGGTCTGGAGGGGCAAACTGAGAAAATGTGTCACAGAAGGTATAGACCATATCAGATCTTGCAAACTAGCAGTCTCCAGGGCTACCTCCAGCCCACAGTCATGTTCTGCTCCCCCACTTCCATAAATTTTAAACTCTTAATTTATTGCTAATATTTTAAATTCAGATTTCACATTAAAACCTGAATTTATGCTTCTCTTAGAAAAGAAAATACCAGGAGATTTTGTTGCTATCTGGCAACAATTGTTTAGAGTTGAGTAATTGTGGTGGGAGAACTTAAGTTGGAGGGTGAATTTCTTGTTTGCCATAATCCCCACCACTCCTTAATGTATTACACTGGCTCTCTTCATTTGATTCTGCCACTTTCCTGGCTCCTGAAGGCATTTGAATCTATGACTGCTGAGCAACATGATCTGGAAGGTCCATTTTAGCTTTAGCGATCACAGGTTCTAATGACCTAGAGCAACGCTCACAATAGAACTTTCTATGGTGATGGAAATGTTCTATACCTGCCTTGTACAGTAGCTACTTGCAACAGAAATGTGGCTAGTTGGAACTGAGATGAGCTGTAAGTAGAAAACACACACCAGATTTTAATTACTGAGTACAAAAAAGTGAATGTAAAATATCCCATTAATACTTTTTATATTGATTACATGTTTAAAGGATATTATTTTGGATATATTAGGTTGAGTAGATATTTTATTAGAATTAATTTCACTTTATTAAGTGGCTGCTAGAAAGTTTTAAATTATATCTAAGGCTCCCATTGTGTGTCTATGGGACACAGCGCTGTCTATTTTGGAAGATTTTAGTCACCTTTCCATATTCTCAACCCAACTCCATGGCAGTGATGTTCTACACCCACAGGCTGTAAAATTCAGTGACTCCCATGTTGTATGGGCGTTTGATTCTGACTCCAGATCGCAGGGTTTACCACTTCCTCTTCCTGCCCTGTCTTATGGCTCTGAATCCTCTCTGCAGAAACTCCCCTCCACGACACTGGTTCTATTTCGGTGATTCAGAAGCCCTTCCGGATGTTGTGGGCTTTGTAGTCAAGCCAGCCTTATATAGGCAGAAGTGGCTGCCTACATGTGCTGAGAAGTGCCAAAAATATCTTCTGTCCTTTCCCTCCCTATTGCCCCCATCCTCCCAAATCTTACACACTCACCAGAGGCCTTTGGGAAATGACCAACATGAGCCTTAACCAATCAGCTCCCCGGTGCCTGTGCAGAAACTGGGCAAATGCTGGTGTCTTCCAGGACTGCTCCTCTCTGACCAGCACAATGCCCTGTAATTTCCTATGTGATGGGAGCCTGGTCAGGGATCTTGCTCAGTGAACATCACAGAGGCTTGCACAATCAGGTCTGAGCAGCCTGGGGCCCACTCAGGCACAGCAGTCAGCCCAGGTGAGGGGAGCAGAGAGGAGCATTGAGCTGTTGTTTACTGGGCGCTCTGCATACATTATTTCATTGAATCCTCAAGAAACCTCAAAAAGTAGGTACTAGCACTCTCGTTACAGCAGAGTCCACACAAGTTCAGAGAGGGATAGTGTGTCTCCCAAGAACACACGGCACACACAGTATGTGGAAAATCTGGTGACGCTGGGCCTCGTTTTTAAGGGGCTTCAACCCTCAGCTGGAGCAGAGTAGAAGCTGCCCTTTGTGAAGCATCTACACATGATCAGGTACCGCTGTTTCCATCTGGACTGCTGTGCTCCTAATTTTGGCTGGGTGGCCCCGTGGGCACATGCATTCACTGCTCCTGGTCCACTTGGTGCCCAGTCTCTGCACACTTGGTGCCTGGACTGCCTTCCTGGAGGAGCTTGTGATCTGGGAAGAATGTTAGGCTCTCTGAGGGCCACAGGTGTCTCATTAAATTGTGTCACCTCGCATGCGGGCCACAGGACATCCTTCTTCAGGCCTGAGCAAGTGACTCAGGCACCGTGTCCTTATAAGGAAAAATGACAGGGAGTCTGGAATGCTGCTTAAGTGTCCCCTAACTGGCCCATCCTGCAGGGTGGAGACCTGTGGGCTCAGGAAAGGCCTCAGGCAGTGATGGGGCATAGAAATGCTGGGAGAGAACAGCCTGGAAGGATACCTTCAGGGTAATGGCTATAGCCAAGCACGTACAGGGAACACACATTTATTGAGTTCCTCCTATGTAAAGTGCCAGAAGCAACACAAGGTCCTCATGAGTCTTGTGACTCCTTCCCTCCACACTAGTAGAGCACAGTGGTTGACCAGTTGACTTTGGAGCAAGACTATTGGGTATAAATCATGGTTTTACCTCTTATTAGCTGAGTGGCTTGGTTAAGAGACTTAATTCTCTGGGTCTCAGTTTTTTGAACTGGAGAATGGAAACCCTACCACAAAGGATTGTTGGATGTGGGGATTCGACAAATTAGAATACGAACTGTTTAGAAGTGTATCTGATGCATAGCAAGGGCTCAAAAAATGTTAACTGTTATCACAGTCACTCTCTTTTAAGAGGAAGAAATTGAGACTGAGAGAGATGAGGTCATTTGCTCAAGGTCACACAGCTAGGAAGGGACAGAGCTGTGCTTTGAAGCCAGGTCTCCATTGGGCTAAAGACTGCAGGGGAGCTGGAGAGAAAGATCGGAGCCAATGACGGTTGGAGAAGAGCCTTAGCTGAAGTCCAGTTGTGGGTCCCCACACCCTAAGAGTTAGGATCAGGCTGCTCCTGGGACACCTAACTGGAGAAGGGAAGGGAAAGAGAAAGCTGAGCAGAGATCTAGTCCGGGCACTACCACTAATGAGCTGAACTGCTGCCCTGAACCTCAGTTTCCTCCTCTATGAAATGGGACTAATCCCACCTTCCTGTTATCAGGACTATCAGGACTAGAGACGTTGCTTGGGAAAGGCTCCTTCTCTCCTCCCACACCCTCTACCAGCCCCTGCCCACCCAAAGAGGATGAGGTGAGGCAGCTCGCCCAGCCCCCTGGGAGGTGGGCCCGGCAGGGCGGGACAAGGCGACCTGGGAGGACTTAATAAAGGGCAGAAAAGCAGAAGTAACAGGATTTCCCAAGTCCTAGAAGTTGAAATTCCTCACACTTCCTCTCCACCTGCTATTGCTGCCTAAGGCCGCCTGGCTGGCTCCATTGCTATTCAGGAGGCATGAGGACCATCTGGGGGACAGCTGAGCACCTCATCAGGACAGGGTAGGTCTGGAGACCTTGGACACTGGGGGCCACAGGCAAGAAACCAGTCAGCAGTCAGGCATCTGGGGATGAGTCTAGGTCCAAGCTCTGCCATTCCCTGACGGGATGACTTTGGGTAAATCCTTACCCCTTTGAGCCTCAGTTTCCCCATCTGTGAAGTGAAAGGAATAGTAATGCCTACAAGCTGTTGTGAGAATGGAATGAGGGAATGCACACACAGGGCCTGCTGGTGTTCTTGGTCAGAGTGAGCACTCAATAAATGGCAGCTAAATTCTTAGTGGCCACACTTAACACAGGCCTTGGCACCCAATATGACTTAGAACTGGTTTTCCATTCCAATAGTGTTTATAGTAGCTATTATTTTTACAGCTACCAGATTTTGAATACTAATGATACAGTAGGAGGGGGTTTAGTCACAAATTAAAATGGCTTTAGGGGTTGGGGAAGCCATAATTCATTATCTCTGACCTCAAGTGGGTCCTCTGTGCTGCCCAGCATGTATATCATTTGCCTAATTCGTTTGCTTTCCCACTTTCCTGGACAACTATGTTATACCTTCTCCTCTATCTTCAAGCTTTCATCATCTCTTCCAGCACCCTTACCATCAATGCTGATCTCGATTCCCGCTACTCTGAGCAAACAGAAACAAACATACTACAGTCAACAAATACTTATGGAGCACCCACCACATGCCAGACACTATTCTAGGCACTTGGGACATATTAGTGATCAAAAGAGAACAAATGTCTGCCTGGTGCTCCAGTAACAGATAATACCTGGCATGATACAAGTCACCAGACACAAAATGACCCTATCAGGCACTACTTTTATCACACCATTTTATAGATGAGAAAACTGAGGCACAGAGAAGTTAAAAAACCTGGCAAGCCCTATTGAGCGTGGCTCAGCAGTTGAGCATTGACCTGTTATCCAGGAGATAGAGGTTCAGGGCACATGCCAGGGTTGCGGGCTTGACCCGTAGTAGGGGACGTGCAGGAGGCAGCCAATCAATTACTTTCTCATCCTTGATGTTTCTCTTTCTCTCTCTCTCTGAATTTAATAAAGACATATTAAAAAGAAAAGAAAAGAAAAGAAATCTAGCCAAGACCACACAAATGGTGAGTGGTGAAGTAGGGATTTGACCCCAGACAGTCTGGAGTCATGCCTTTAACCATTGCTGTGTTTTGTGTATGTCAGACGATGTTAATATATAATTGCCCACACTTCGCCTGTCCATCCACCATCATCTGTATTCATTTCCTCTGGCTTCCCACCTGCTATTAAGAATGAATGGCCCCTGCTTCTTTCTAAGATCATCCCCATCTTTTGTGCTCTTGGTCTCACTCTTGACAGTCATGAAGGAGATCACTGCAGGGAGGCTCCCCTTCATCAGTGTCCCCTTTCTTGATTAGATCTCCCATCTGCACACCTGCCAGAGCTTCTTCCATCTTACATGATCTCTCTTGGTCACATCTTGCCCATTGGCTACTGCATCTTTCCTGACCCAGCAGCAGCATTTGACATAGTTGGAATATTTTATTTACCTGGCTGTTCAAGCAGCACATTGCCTGGTTTCTCAGTGTCTTTGCTGGTTCCTCTTCATCTCCCAAACTGTTAACCCTGGAGTTTGAGGGCTCAGTCCTTGGCTCTCTCCTCCTCCTCCTAAACACACTTCTTGAGGAATCTCACCCTGCCCCTTGACTTTAAATACTATAAATCAGCAGCACCCAACATTATATCTCCAGCCTGATCTCTTCTCTGAATTCTTGATTCGTGTTTCCAACCACATACTCAACAACTCCACTGAATGGCTAAATTGGCAACAAATTTCAGACTTTCAACAGAATCCCTCCTCTCCCCATTCCACTCAGTTCTGCTTGAACCACACTTTTCTGTCTCAGGAAGTGACACCCCAATGTTTCCAGCTGCTCAGTCTACCAAACCCTGTGGTCACCTTTCTCTCACACCCACAGCCATCAGTCTTGGCCAATCTTGTTGGCTCTTCCGTTAAAATGTATCCAGAATCCCCTTTTCTTACAGTTCCTCCACCGTCACTCTTTAGTGTAAGCTCTATAAGGGCAAGGATTCTTGTCTGTTTACTCATTCCTGTTTCTCCAGTGGGTGGCACATAGTAGTGGCTTAAAAAATATTTATTGAATAAATAGAGTAGAAAAATTTCTCAGAGGTCAACTGATCCACTCTCCCCTTTCCCCCAAATTATAGAGAAGGCACTGTGGTCCATAAACTTCTTTAATGTTTAATGTCACACAGTGCCAACAGTGAAACAGTGTCTTTATTTCTCTCTCTCATTCTCTCTCTTTCATCTGTGCTTCTCTCTTCATGATTCTTTCATTCCCTTGGGCCAGTTGCCTTTACAAAATTGGAATTATGGATGCAAGCAGCCCAGGCATTCACCTTCACATCCTCAGGAACTCCGTGGAAACCGGGCTCTTCTCTGAGAACTCCAGTGAGCCGCCTGGGGAAGGCTCTGATTGGTTCAGCTTGGGTCATCTGGGTTTGCTGTGGGTTACTCCGATTGGCCCACCAGGGAGGAATGCCCACCCCTTTGGCTGATGGGGTGAAGCCTGTTAGCTGATGAAGGGTTTGTGGGGCAGGGACATGGGGCAGACACTCAATCCCCCACCCTCCTGATAAACCTTCTCCCAATTTCTTGTGTGCAGGTGGAGATTCTGGCACTTGGGGCTCTGCAAGGCTCTTGTACCACTGCAGGCGGCCTGGGCTGCCTTCTGTCAGCCTGTCCCAGCCAGCTGTGGCCAGCTGTTAATCCAGCTCCTCCTGTGTGGTTCTCTAGCTGTTGCTGCTGCAGGTCTGATCCACCACTGGCTGGTGTCCTCGCTGCTTTATCCTCTGGAGCCTTCGGCCATAATGGCCACTCTCTGTGGCCTCTTGGTCTTCCTGGGCCTGGGCCTGGTGCCTCCGGTTCGCTGCCTGTTTGCACTCAGTGTGCCCACCCTGGGCACAGGACAGGGCCGGCGCCTGCTCCTGTCCTGGAGTACTGCCACCTTGGCTGTCACCGTGGTGCCCAACGTCTTGGCTAACGTGGGTGCAGCTGGACAGGTGCTGAGGTGTGTCACCGAGGGCTCCCTGGAGAGTCTTCTCAACACCACTCACCAGCTACACACAGCATCCAGGGCTCTGAGTCCCACTGACCGAGGCCTGACACTCCAGGTCCAGGGTAATGGCTCTGTCTTCCGGCTTCACATGCTCAAGGTCACTCAGCAGGTCCTGGAGGACTTTTCTGGCCTGGAGTCCCTGGCCCAGGCAGCAGCACTGGGGATCCAGCGGGTGGTTACAGGGCTCTTTATGCTGGGCCTCCTGGTAAACTCAGCCTGGTATCTCCATTGCTACCTGACCGACCTGCAGTTTGATAACATCTATGCTACAAGGCAGTTGGCTCAGCAGCTGGAAGAGGCCCGGGCCACACACCTGCTGGCCTCCCCACCAGCCTGGCTGCTGAGGGCGGCTTGGCCAAGGTTGTCCCAGGGGGAGCTGCTGAGCTGTCTGCTAAGGCTAGGGCTGCTCACCCTGCTCCTGATGGCCACAGCTGTGACAGTGGCCACAGACCACGTGGCCTTCCTCCTGGCCCAGGCAGCCGTGGACTGGGCTCAGAAGCTGCCTGCTGTGCCCGTTACGCTCATGGTCAAGTATGATGTAAGTGTGGTGATGAGAAGTTGGGCATAGAGAGAAAGGGTAGGGCTTGTTAAATCCTTGACTTGTGATTGAATTTTACTTACCTTCAAATCACAGCCCTGGGCTAGGCTGTGGGACCTGGGGCATCCGCAGATGAACTTATTTAATTCCCACTACAACCCGACACAGTGGGTTCTGTTTTCACCTACCACAGGTGAAAATAATAGAGATGTTAAAATAATTCTCCCCCCAAGGTCTCTCTTTTCATACATGCCAACATGTCCTAGCCCCCTTTTTCTCACTTGTACAAATTGGGTCAGCCCTCCTTTCCCTACAAGGTTACTGTGAGCCTTAAAATATGATGGTCCCTAGAAGTACCTAGTAAGCACTATGACCCACAGGGGCTGTTTAATAAATGCTGGCTATTACTAACAGCTCACATCTGTGCATATTGGACTGGAGGAGGGTTCAGGAAGGGACTGGGTCAAGAGTCCACTAACTATGGCCCACTGGCCAAATCCTGCCAGCTTCCTGTTTTTGCAAATTGTCATAGGGGGAATAGATGGTATGGAAGGAGACTTGATTGCAGTGGTGAACTCGCAATACAACATACGGATGACGTATTATAGAATTGTACACCTGAAACCCCAGAAGGCAAGGGTTACTTCTGTGCCCATTTTGCAGATGAGGGCAAGGGGAGGGGAAGTTGACGCAGCCCTGCAGGTGGCGGGGGACAGGGGATGGCTGGGGCGTGTGTCAGCTGACTGGGCCTCTTTCTCCCTTGCGAAGGCTGCGTACAGCGTCCTGGACTTCCTTCCCTTCCTCTTCAACCAGCCGCCCCTGGAGAGACCCTTCCACTCGGCCCGCAAGTCCCTGCAGTGGGAGCTGCGCTTCACGCCCCCCGGCTGCCCGCTGCTGCCCGCGCAGCGCC